GGCACTGCTATTTTATTCAATCCAGCTCAAATTTAAATCCAAACTCTCACTACAATCACCCCTTGACAAATTATCCAACGCATCAAACACAAATCACCCATAGCACACCCTTCACCACTAAAAAAAATATATGGCGGCCGTAGTAAGGTGTCCAGCAGTGGCAATGAAAGAAGTTCCAATCAGCTACAATTTTATTTGCGATCGTCAGGTTAAAGAATTGGACAATTTGTGGGTAGGGGCAACGGGCTATGGAGTTGCCTTGTATACGATGCTTGCAATAACTGCTCGATTAAGTAAATCCACTCACTTCAAAGGGCTGAAACGTCCCCTTAATGGGATGACCATGATTGGAGTGCTTTCAAGGAAATTGGTGTGGTTGCTCGAGGAATTGACCAAGACGGCAATAGCTTCCACCTTGAGGACATGGTGAATTTTGAGGGGCGAGTAATGATAGAGTCTTATCAAATCTATATACCTTAGAAGGATCCAGAATAATTGAAAAGCACATTCAGTTAGGGGCAGGGGTAGTGTGGGGATTCATACAATAAGTTGTATAGGTTGTTACCCATAAATAGGGGGGCAATGTTTCTTATTGGGGATATGCAAAATATTGAGAAGGATCTAGGATTCTAGGGGAGGGTATTGGGTCTCTCCAATACCCAACTATCTTTTACTATTCAGCAAAATAGAGATACAGAGAGTTTACACAGTTGCTTTAATTCTCATCTGTTAGAGCTTCTTCATTAGAGTACTATCTACTTTTTACAAAAGTACAGTAACGCTTTCCAAGTGACTCTTTGTGTTCTGGTTTCTGTCTTCATTTTGCACTTGATTCTATGATTGAATTGCAATAGCAGGATTCATATCAGGTTCTGCAACAACTTCAACAAGATTTTATCATGCCCTTTGTAAAATTTGTTAGAATGTGGTCAAATTAAATTTTTTTTGTCAACTAACGGTTCCATCTGCAGCGATCATTAAAGGTTTGGGACCCGGCTGCAATTTTCCCTAAATTATAAATAGAATAAATTGAGTTAAAAATAAGTGGATAATATTTGTAGGCCCTTGAAATGTATGGAGAAAATGACTCGAGTGTTTACAACCATCAGTCATTCGTAGACTAAGGGTCCGTTTGGCATGGCTTTCAAAAAAAGTTTTTCAGATCCAAAAGTTGTTTTTGTAAAACTAGCAGTGCATCCGTTTTTATCATAAATTTAACGAAATTAGATTAAAAATTTATTTGTTTGAGTTATTCCGTTGAAACGAACTACTAGTTTGAAACATCCGATGTTTGAGAACTATTGCCACAAACTAAACGTGGAAGTGATTTTTTGAGACAAATCTGGTCATTCCTTCATATAGTTTTTCATGGATACCATTGCAATTGAATGTTTATCTGGATGTCGCATATTTGTTTCGATGGAATTCATTTAAACGTGGTTCATGAGTGTACTTTGAGTACAGGATTATGAGTGGTATTCTCAAGTTCATTTATTTTTTGTGGTGTTTCATTTGCTCTTCCACTGTGCATAAATTATAGGTCCTGTTGCTGAGGACATGTTCCATTGGCAAGCTACGATCATGGGTCCTCCAGACAGTCCATATGCCGGTGGAGTTTTCCTAATTACCATCCATTTTCCTCCAGATTATCCTTTCAAGCCACCTAAGGTTTTTGTCAGAGCTTTAATTCCTTCACAGCTCGTTTTTTCTTTTAGTAATATATACACACACAAAATGGAAGGTTTTGTTTTAATTTCGCTGAACTTTGCAGGTTGCTTTTAGAACAAAAGTGTTTCACCCGAATATTAACAGCAATGGTAGCATATGCCTTGACATATTGAAGGAACAATGGAGCCCTGCCCTAACCATTTCCAAGGTTTATTTTCTAAAGTTCCCTACCTGCTGTTGAAACTGTGCATCTGGATTCCCATCCTTTAATTTTTTCGCACTTAATCTGCAAGTTTATAGCACCTTGATCCCTGGTGAACGGTTTCCATCGATGTCACCGTTATAACATGTTAGATTTTTGTTATAAGGCAGTTGTACCTTTCTTTGCATCAAAAGAAAAAAATTAAACGTCTCTCTCCAAACCCCACCCCAAAACTTCCATTCT